TTGCCGTTCACTAGAAGTCTTCAAGCAAAATCAGTATGACCCCTTGTCTGGAGGGGATTTTTTGCTCAGATATGGGTTGGAATACATTACTTCTGAAATTCCTTTTGACTCTGAGATTTTGTGATTCTGAGCCTTAGTTTGGGAGAGATTATATATAGAAGGAAGTGGAGTCTTTCCCTATACTCCTACCCACCACACAGTATAGATAAAGAATTGTAATAAAAATCTTTGAATCTTAATTCTATTTATATAGTATATATTCATGTACAATATAGATGTATAATGTATAAATGTGCACATATGTACACACATATATATTCAATTTCATTGGATTCAACAAGTATTTATCTAGAGCTGTGTTTGGCATTGTGATAGAAACTCAAAACAGTCCATGCTCTCATTTTTCAATTGTGGATTTTCTGAAATCCTACTAGTTCTTTCAGGAAATGATTGCCTGGTTAAGCAAAGAGTAATTTAGACCAAGGATCATGACTCACAAATATGTGACAATAATTAATGCATTTTCTTCTAACTGAATAGAAAACAATTCACAAAATTGTCTCATCTCCTTGTCTAATCATGGAATTTCTAGTATTTTGTTTTACACTATCTACCTCATACACAAACACACACACACACACACACACACAATTTTTAATGCTATCTGTCCATAGTGTTACTTGCTGTTTTTCAAATTTTTAAAATATATATTTGAACACTGTTTTAGTCTTATCAGCTTTTCAAATCTATCTTCATCAATACTGTCTATATTAGATTATAAATAAAATGTTTATAGAACCAAATAGCTATTTGACAATATAGACTAGTATTTTCCAAATGATATCCTTAATAATTTTCATTATCTAGAAAATGAATGCAATATCATGGGAAAAAATCCAATGCTACTGACATTTTTCTTTATGTAAATAAGAAATCATATCTTATTAATATGCTTTTAAAATATTAATATATTGGTAGAAAAATAGATTTACATTCATCCATTTTGTTTTAAAAGTTACCTGATTCTCCTTTGTCAATATGACATTCTTTACTCATGGATTCAGTAATTACAAATTTCAGTAATATATTCCAATGCCCCAAAATATTTGTAGCCAAATTAATTTGGGAACTGCTTCTATAGACAACCAGTCACAACTTAATAAATTATTATTTATTCATACATTCATTGGAGAATTAACAGAAGGCCAGAGAGAATGGAGTTATGAAAGGAAATGTGAAACATTTAGTGGAACATGTGGTATGGTTTTTAGGGCAGATAACATGCAAAAGATCAGAAGAAAGCAGTTAGTAATAATAATTCACCACCTCCAAAAGCCTCCTTCCCACCTACCATCACACAGCATTTTATGGATTAAAAAGGACTTTCCTGACAACAATCCTGTGGGATAGGTAGTAACTTGGCTGTCCAGAAGTAAATGGTGACTATATACTATGAAGTGTAGTCATGAGGTTATCAAAATTTAATGAGGAATTTGACACTACAGTAGCGATGAATGCTAAAATAAATCGTGGGCTAGACTGTCTTCATATCTTCAAGCAGGATAATAACCAAATAAAAAGAATATCAGTACTATGTTTAAAACTTTCAAAGAGGAGGGGGTGGTAAAGAAAACTGTTATAGTTTAGAAAGCACGTTAATAAAGGGGAGATAGCCAGAAGAGGGCAATGAACATGAAGAAAGTCTCAAGTCCATGTCACAAGAGAATACACCGAAGAACAGTGGGATTTTTATCCTGGAAAAAAGAAACCTCAAGAGGATAAGATAGCTCTTTTCAAGTACTTAAAAGACATATAATGGGGAAGAGGCTTTGTTATATTTGGCACCAGAGTAAAGATGTGTTTTCTTTGGCCTGAAGGGAACAAGGCTGGAAGCTGCAAAGAGGCAGATTTGAGCTTCATGAAAGGAAAAACTATAAAAATCAGAGTTAACTAGAAATGGGCTGCTTGAGGAGGTAGTAAGTTTCCTGTCTAGAGAGGTATTCATGATAAGGATACATAACTACCTGTCAGGATTCATGGTAAAATAGTTTATCTCAAAATTTGCATGTGTGGGAAGGTAAGTAAAGAATGGAATTTGAAAATCACTCTACAATAATTTATGCATTGTTGTTTAGTTGTTTTTCAGTCTTGTCCAACTCTATGTGATGCCTTTTGGGGTTTTCTTGGCAAACATACTGGAATAGTTTGTCATTTCCTTCTCCAGCTCATTTTACAGATGATGAAACTGAGACTAACAGGGAGTGATTTGCCCAAGGTAACACAGCTAGTAAGTGTCTGAGGCCAGATTTGAACTCAGAAAGAAGAGTCTTCCTGAATCTAGACCTAGTACTCTATCCACTGCACCACCTAGCTGGCTCCTTTATACATACTAGTTACTAAAAGTCAATTTTAGAAATAGTATGATATTTTATTTGAATGGTAAAGATTAGTTTAAATACGAGTTATCCTTATCAATAAAATACTGCCATAGGCATTGGAAAGTATTTTTTAAAGTTTAAGTATAAAAATCTCAGTTTGCTTCTGGATTATCTATTTAAGTTTGACAAGAGTACAGACCAGCCATAAGATGATAATGGACAAATGTGCACTTTTTTTAAATTAAAGATTTCCACATCCTACACAAAGTTTCTTATGCTGATCTTTTTTATTATAAAATATTTTCTGCAAAAATAATTACAAAACATATGTATGTATATATGTGTACATATGTATGTACACATTTGGAAATGTATACACACATGTATTTACCTTAAAGCAGTCTAAAACTCAATAGACAAGTTTTGAGGAAAAGACTGGGTTTTCTGTATGACTTTTCTTTCATTGTGTACTGCATTACAATTTTTTAAAACATTTATTTTTTAATTTTATTTTTATTTTCATCTTAGCAAACACCAATTAAAATGGGTATTTCCATTTATACAGGAGAATAGAAATAGAAAATCCTACATGACATGGTGAATCTCTATTAGGTACTGTTTGCTTTTCTTTTTAAATATGTGGTAAGTTCAACCTGTAGCTTTCAAAGTTGTCCTACTTCATTCTAAGCTTTCTCCTGTTTTCTTCTCTGCTTTTCAAACAAGATAACTCCACAGACCTCTTTTCTTTCCATTCTTTTTTCTTTTCTTAAAAATTGTATCTCAGTGGATTTATTTATTTATTTACTTTCAGCCACAAACAAGGTTTATTAGAACATCATATGGAGCAGACTCTTAAGGAATCTAAGCATTTGAATTGCTAATGCAAGTGAGCCAGATTTTAAGAATCTGAGCAGTGGCTAGATTTTAAGAATCTGAGCATTTGGTAGAGGACCTTATATGCAGAAAGATTGTGGGAGGGATCTAGGAGTGGACAAGTAGTTTGGGGTGACTGGAGGAGGAGTCTAATGTATTGCAATTTAAATGTTACTCAAAGGAATTTTGTCAAAGTGGTACTGAAACATGATAGCCACAGATAATGTCTTTCTGATTATTGACTATCATAGCAGGACCATACTTAAAAACCAGTAACATGACTTCAAGCTCTTTGGGTTCTTTCTCATCAAAAACCTGAGGGAAGTACACATAGACAGATTGAATCGAAGTTTTTGCCATAATGAAAGCAGATACACAGTTACTATTGGACCCAATAGTTAGATACTAGTTCTACAAAGATAAATTTATAGGAGCAAGTAGTGAATTGAGCTCTTATTTTTTCCCCAAGGTTTTTCAAAGCAGAGCTGTTTATGACTACTATGTTGTGATATCTCCTCACTGGTTCATCAATACTCACATAGCACAATTTCCTGAGTGTCTGCATTTTTAAGTCTTCCTACTTAGTTTGTACCTACATGTTTGACTTAAAAAAAAAAAAAGAAAAAGAATTCTGTACCCTAACTTTCACTGATTTTTTTTAAATGAAGATGAGAATTGTTATAAAGCTAAAATACTATGATGTTGCCTTAATTAAAAACATTTTTAGGGATAAAACATAATTATGAGGTATTTGTATTTGTCTCAATTATCTGTACATTGGAAGAGTTGATCTGCTCATCCTAAAAAATAATTAACATTATTATGTGGTGGTGATTACCCAAGGGCTCATCTTTTATTGCCAAATATCTTAAAAACATAGTTATAATTGGAAAAAATTACATTTTTCACTCACAATTTAGGGAACAAAAATTGATCCTTGGTATAAGCAAGTACTTATAATGGGGTTTTAACGTACATGTTACTCTAATCTCAGTCTCTGAATTTTGGAGACCAAAATTCTGTCTCCCAACCTACACTTAGGTAACAACACAAAAAACCAAAACATACTTGAAAATGTTTATGTATAAATACATGTAAAAATATACATATTTTAATGTATACATATTTTAATAACCATTGTAAATGAAGGACAAGGCAGCTAGGTGACAATGGATTGAGTGCCCAGTATGAAGTCAGGAAGATTCATTTTCCTAAGTTCAAATCTGGCCTCAGACCCTTACTAGCTATGTGCCACCAAGCAAATAACTTAGCCCTATTCACCTCCATTTTCTCATCTGTAAGATGAGCTGGGGAAGAAAATGGCAAACCACTCCAGTTTCTTTGCCAAGAAAACCACAAATGGGGTCACAAAGAGTCAGACATGACTGAAATCACTGACCAACAACAAATGAAGGACAATTCAATTATACTTAATCTTTGCATTAGAGTGATCTGCCCAGCAACTCTCCAAATTTTCATAGGTTTATGAAATTTCATTCTTTTTGGTCAAACATGGAGAGCCTAATGTTGTACTATTACTTTTTTTTTAATTTCAGCAAACAACAATTTGGTCATCTATTGTACAACTTCCAATCATACTAAATTGAGGGACTGAGTGAATCTCATTTAATATATGATTGACACACAAAAGGAAACTCTTAAAAACAAATTTAAAATGCAATCCCTTAGCAATCCATGTCAAATTGAAACACATTGCTTTGCATTGTAGTGGCATTTCCCTTTCCTTACCTTTAATCTCTTTGTCATTTTTAAACCATCTGATATCAGCTGCAGGTTTACTTCCAGATGTTTTGCAAGTTAGTTGCATCAAGTCTCCTTCCATAACTGGTGATGAAAACCCACTAATCTGAGGCTTCTCAGGAACACCTAACAAACAAGCAAACAAACATATTAAACAAAAACATATCTGCTATTGTCAATTCATTCCTGTGAGACTTGGACTAATATTGACAAGGACAAAGCTAAACTAGGTCAGCTGCCAAGAGTACTAAAGAATTTTATGTACCATAATTAGTTCTATATTTTATGAATGGGTAAAAGCCCAATCAAGAATAATAAAATGAATGTCACAGAGTACGCATAAACTAAATAGTTGATCTAAATCATTCTGGATTATTATTAAGGTGGTTTTTAGCAATATATAAAACATAACTTTATCTTAAATCCAATTCTGCCAGAAAAAAAACACTAATATGTTCAATTCAAAGTAGATATGATTATAAAGGGCATAAAATAGCTAAGGAAATAATAGTTTTGTAAATTAATTTTTTTTCCTGAAAGAATCGAAGTAGCAATGTGGTACAGAGGACAGAAAACTGGTTTTGGGGTCAGAGAATTTGGGCTCAAACTCTGATTCTACACAATTTAGGTTTCATTCATTTCATCCATAAAATAAGGCAGTTAGATTATGAAACATCTGAGGTCCCTTTCAGCTCAAGATCTATGATCCTATTACTATTAATTTCTTGTTTAATGAAAATCTTTTTTTTTTTGTCTTGGGCTTATGATCCTAGTAATTAAAAGAAAAGTCCATTCCCCCATGACTGGCCTTCTTATTTTTCCTCCATGGATACACATCTCCCAACTCTGGGCATTTTTACTGGCTGTCCTCCATATCTGGAATTCTTTCCCTTCTTGTCTCCCTCCTGGTTTCCTTCAAGTTCCACCTAAAATCACATCTTCTGTAGGAAGCCTTTCTTCATCTAGCTTAATTTGAGGGAACAAGAGAACACTTATTTATTGTATCTACTATGTTATAAATATTATCTCATTTGATTTTCACAATAACAAAATAATTTATGCTTGAGGAAATGGAAACAAACAGAGGTTAAGTGATTTGCCCAGGGTCATATAGCTAGTAAGTGTTTGATCTTCCTGACTCCAGATACTTCACTCTACCCATTGTACCACCTGGCTGCCTGTAGTGCCTTCCTTCTGTTGATTATTTCTGGTTTTCCCAGTAAATAGCTTATTTGTATATAGTTGTTTTCATTTTGTCTCCTCCATTAAACTATGAGCTCCTTGAAAGCAGGGATGAGCTGACCTTTCTTGGTATCCCTAGTGCTTAGTATAGTGCCTGGAAGACCATTAATAAATGTTTATTGACTGACTGACAATGGACAAGTCACCAAACCTTTCAATGGAAACATAACTTATAAACAATTCCATAGCAGAAGAAATTATAAAATAGTTATCATTTTTAGGGAAAAACTTGGTTCTAAAGATATTCCTAAATGCATGTTTTAATCACTAATTCACTTTTAGAAGTTGTGACCTACCTATTCTTCACACAAAGGTGCTGTTACCAGAATGACTCACATGAGGATCAATTTACCCTGCTGTAGTTTTCCTCAGAAATGTAGTCATACATTTTTCCTCTGCATTATACAGATTCATCATCTTTCATGATACCCATATATTAAATTGCCAAAGCGAAATTGTAATTAGTCAGAAGATTTATGTACAACAATGTTCAACATGTGATTACAAAGATAACACACAATACTTTTTAATAGGCAGTGAGCATTTAAGGAAATCATTGTGAATTTTGAAAATGTCATCCTCCAAAAGTGTTGATAAAGCCAAACTGTGCTCTAAATAAGCTCTAAATAGATGAAAAAAAGGTGTAGGAAAGCTCCTACACATTGGGGGCAGGAAAGGGGACAAAATAAATACTAGAAAAGAAGCAAAACATATCAAACTACACTGATTACTAGGTATTGGTTATGTTTCTTTCCATCTTTTGGCTTGACAGTGAAAAGTGCCTTTTCATCTATGTCTTACGACCATTTAATAAGCTGAATTCAGTCATCTATTCTTGGGATCTCAAGGTGGCTCTCTACAGAAAAATACATTAACCTTAGGCAGTTGTTATCCTGAAATACTCAATTTTTAGTGGGTATTTTTTTGTCCTTAATGGCAAGCTTCTGAAGATTTTTATAAAATAGTCTCAGTGGGACTCGAAAAGAAACATATTTCATATCCTATTCACAAAACCAATTCTCTAGCTGGATTAACTTTAATATTCCCAGCCAAAAGAACAGCATGCATTAGTTGCTTTAAATGCAACATTCAGCCTTTACCTATCCAAGAAGGAAGGCAAGCTCAGGGACAAAAAAAAATCAATCTTTAAAATCGTATAACTTGTTCAGTACACAGGTGTGTTTCAATGAACTGTAGCAATTTTAGCTGATTGGGCAAGTGACGTTCGTGGAATCAGAGAGAACTCGGCACTGAAACTTTATTTCCTAGGCATCTCTATGAATGGATTGCTTTTTCTGTGTCACTTTAACCTTTGGGAAAACAGCACAACATTTAGAGAATGAAGCATAAAAGAGGCAGCAAACTACAAATACAACTAACGACGTACACTGCAGAAGACACAAGTCTGGAGAATAAATTTGGGAAGTATATAATTAAGGAGAAAACATCAGGAAAATGGGAAGCTCTTTAAAAAAAACAAAACAACTTTTGCTTTCAAATGTGACCCCTGTTGTGGTATTTTACAACAACAGTAAAGATGTTTACCAACTCTTTTTAATACAATTGGTCAGGAGCAAAGTCCTATTAGCCATATTTTATAAAACACAATCTTGTCCCTTCCTAATAATGATGCCCATCAAACAGAAGTAACATTAAATGAAAGATAAGAAAAGAATAGGTCTCTGAGTTTGAGTTCTAAAAAGAAAAATCCATGAAAATGGTCCTCAAAATAATTTTTACAGATTTGTGATCTGAACTATGACAGTACTCATTTCTCTGGTATATTACTTTGATATCCTTAGTCAATTGCACTTACCTAGTACAGTGAGAAAAGCCTTGGAAGTTTTGACAGGCATAGTAAATAAAGAACAGGTGTATTGTCCTTCATCTGAGAGAGACACATCACTGACGCTGATACTCAATTCATGCCATGTAGCTCGAACCAGTTCAATCCTATTGTCCCTTAGAGCTGGGAGTAGGGAAGAAGACATGTTAAAAAAAAATGAGTCATACAACATTATTAAAATAAAATAAGCTACACATCATACATTGTAATTCAGTCTACTAAGCAATTTATTTCTACCCCACATTTGAACTACATTTCTGTTAAATCCAGGCAATTCTTACAGGTTTCTAGGAACTGTTTCCTGGAACATTTTTCAACACAAGTTCAAATGAAATAGAATTCTATATCAGACGTTACTAAGTTATTGCACTAGTGATAACAACAGACTAGAAAAATACATTCCCTGTGATCCTTAAAAATATCAGTTTTTATTCAATTTCATAATAGCACCTAGCACAGTGCCTTACACAGAACAACCACTGAATACATGTTTTTTGTTGAGAATAATGATAATGTTATAAATGAGTTCACATTTACAATGGAATATACTAGGAATTCAAAGGTACAATGTATTTATTTTTAATACAAACCTCTGGCAAAGATATTTCTCATAGAACTGATAACTAGAAATAATTTAATTCAACAAATGTACTACAAAGGGTTTTAAAACTTTAAAGCATCCTACACATGTAATTTATTGCTATCAGTATAACTAATATCATCATTTCATTCCCATCTTATATTTAATGTTTTTTTAGACAGAAACATCATCATCACCATCATCATCATCATCATCATCATCATCATAACAGGGCAATGAGGTATTGCACTGTATAGAGAGCCAAGCCTGGAGTCAGGAAGACTTTTCTTCCTGAGTTCAAATCTGGCCTCAGACATTAGTTATGTGACCCTGGGCAAGTCACTTAACTCTATTTGACTCAGTTTCTCATCTGTAAAGTAAATTGGAGAAGGAAATGGGAAACCACTCCAGTATCTTTGCCAAAGAGTCAGACACAACTGAAAAATGACTGAACCACAACATTATTATAATTATCATTTTCTCATCTTTTTTGATTGATTTCAGATAGAAACAGACTGAGGATGTCACTATCCTACTATTATTCTTTTATACTTTAGTGTTCAATGAACTATTGCTCAGGTGAATAAAAATGACTGCATTTTATAATTGACTAAAAATATTAGAAAGAAAACATATCTAGGGATAACTCCAGTAGCAGGCAGAATAACGTAAAGGACGCATACCTCCTCCCATTCCCAAATATGTATTTTTTTCAGTTCCATGTAGTCTGGAGATTATGGGTGTTCTTATAAATGTATAGATCAATGTGACATCTAGGCAATTGTAGGCAGCAGTTATGTTTAGTTTATGTTTAATGATTCTATGTTACACATATAGATAAACTATTGAATACTCAAAGATGTATTGGGATTTGTATCTTTAATATAAAGATTTGTTGTTTGTTAGATTACAAAGGATAGCAAACTTCTGGTAACAAATTCTAAGACACTTAATCACTTAGGTCTAGTAATCCAAAGGATGCACACTTTCCACCATGTCATTGCATAATCTTTATTAACCAATAAATCTAAGCTCTTTAATAATATCATTTCTACAATCTTTGGTGATCATAGCCTAATCTTTAATATCATCATAAACTCCTCTGTTTCTGTAAGCAAATGTGACTCAGACATTTGTTCAATGTTTCTTTGCTGACCATGAAGCATTATTTATCCTAATGAAATCTGAAAATCCTCTCTCAAGCTAATTAAGAGAACATTGTGTGTGTGTGTGTGTCTCTGTGTGTGTGTGTGTGTGTGTGTGTGTGTGTGTGTGTGTGTGTGAAATAAGTTTAATGCTTCTACTGGGCTTGGATTAGACACTTTTACAAAATCAACTTTCTGATGCTATGATTTAAAGAAGCAGAGTATAAGAGATTTGTTTCTACTTAACATACATTGGCAGGTATGATTGGTGAACTTGTATTGGGAGAATGGGAGAGGTATCACAGGACTAAATAGGCATAAATGTCTCTATTTTTTTTAAAGGAAGGAAGTAGAATCTAAAAACTGAAAACCAGTAAGTATTGATTCCTAGAAAAATTCTCACTTATATTGTTAAGGGGTAGTTTGTGACCATTTAGAAACAGAAAAAAAAAGTGATGACAAAAGGAATGAGCAGGGGTTTACCATGAACAAGTCATGCCAAAGTTCAATTCTGTTGTTGTTGGGTGGGTAGAGTTAATAAACCAAGATTTCAGCAAAGCCAACTCTTTTTTTGGTGGCAAAGAATTGGAAATTGAGGGGATACCCATCACCTGGGGAATGGCTGAACAAGTTGTGGTATATGAATGTATTGGAATACTATTGTGCTATTAGAAATGATGAGCAGGTGAACTTCAGAAAAACCAGGAAAGACATATATGAACTGATGCTGAGTGAAGTGAACAGAACCAGGAGAGCATTGTACACACAGTAACAGCCACATTGTGCGATGACTAACTTTGATAGACTTAGCTCTTGTCAGCAATGCAAGGATCTAAGACAACTCCAAAAGACTCATGATAAAAAGTGCTATCCACATCCAGAGAAAGAACTTTGGAATCTGAATGCAGATGGAAGTATGCTATTTGTTCTCATTGTTGTTTTGTTGTTGTTTTGTTTTGTTTCTTCTTTCACGGGGTTCCTCTCATTTATTCTAATTCTTCTTTACAACATGACTAATGTGAAAATATGTTCAATATCAATGTATGTGTAGAGCCTATGTCAGATTGCATGCTGTCTTGGGAAAGGGGGAAGGGTGGAAGAGGGAAAAAATTTAAAACTCAAAATCTTATGGAAGGGAATGTTGAAAACTAAAAATAAGTTAATTAATTTTTAAAAATAAAAAAAAGAATTTGTCAAGAAAAAAAAATTCAGCAAAGCCTTTAATAAAATTTCTTCAGGAAAAGATGGCAATATTGTCAAAATTGAAAATGACACAAAACCTGGATGGAGAACTAACAATCTACATGACAGTTAGGATTTAAATAGATCTCAAGGGATTAAAACTGGGTCAAATCTAATAAGATGAAAAGTAGTAGGGATAAATTTTTTTAAATCAGCTTCAAAGTATAAGAAAGGAGTAGATGTGACTAGAAAGAAGTTCCTATGGAAAAGATTTTGTAGATGTTAGTATACTATGAATGCAACTACATGGCATTGCAATAAATAAAAAATCATAGCATCTTGAACTTAATTAAGAGAGGGGAATACCCATAATTAGGGAGGTGATGATTCATTGTAGCTGGTTTTGTTCAATCCATAACTAAAATTTTATGTTCTGTTCTCAGCACCACATTTTACAAATGAAAAACTGGACTTAGTTCATAGCTGGGCAACCAAGATGGAGAGAGGCCTAAAGACAATGTCAGAGAAGGATCCATTGAAGGAAATGGGTATAAATAGCCAGGAAAGAAAAGATTTAGGCAGATAGAACAGCTGTATTTAATTATTTGTAGCAATGTCATGTGCTAAAGATATTGGACTTGTTGCATTTGGCCAAGAGAATAAAGAACAAATTACAGAAGTTGCAGGTTTGGGTTTAATGGCAGGAAAAAAGTTTCTCATAATTGAAGCTTTGCAAAAGTGTCATTCAGGAGGTAACAGAGATTCTCTTAACTAAATATTTTCAAGCAAAAACCAAATGACCACTTGTCAAAGATATATAACAAAAAGGATTCTTGTTCAAACAGCAGGTAGATGAGAGGGCTTCTAATAGCAATCTCAACTCTGAGATTCTTCATGAAATTAAAGAAAATTACTACTTAAGTCCTACTTTAATGATCATCTCAATATTGGAAATAACCAAATTGTATAAAGGAATATTATTTTTTCCCTAAATGAGGATATGTCATCAAATATTACTTTCTTGAACATAACAGATATTCAATAGATAGTTAGGATCGTAAAAATCAACAATTATTAAGAATTTATTTTATGCCAGGCACTATGATAAACCCAAGGGATCCAGAGAAAGGCAAGAAGAGTTCCTACTCTAAAATGGCTCAATCTATGGGTCAAACAATTGACACTCAACTAAAAATAAACAGAACATATACAGGATAAATAAGAAATAATCAACAGACAGAAGGCCCTAGTATTAAGGGAGAATCAGGAAAGGCTGCTTATAGAAGGTGGTATTTTACTGAGACTTGAAGCAAGTCAGGGAAGCCAGAAGATAAAGATGAAAAGAGATTCCACCAACATTTATTAAGCACCTACTAGACAAACATACACTGTCCCCAGCACTTAGTACAGTGCTGGCACATAAGTGCTTAATAAAAAAAAATGCTTGTTGACCAAACATAAATTATATCTACAGTTGCATATACTTTTAAAAATGACATTATTGCAGATCTATATTTTTCATGCAGTTTCACTTTTCTAGTTATACTGACCTGCTAAAGTTAAAAAAAAGAAAGAAAGAAAAGTTGAATTATGATATAGGCTTAAATTCTCACAAGAATTTTCCAAGTCCTCAAAATAAATCTATATAAAAAATGATCACCACTAAGGAAATTTTCTGGATGTGGTCTCCTTTTGCATAGAGTGCAATTTTTCATTCTGTTGCACAAGAGAATTCTCTGAACCCCTGAAGAAGAGAAATAAGTATATTGAATGACTGAAGGGGGATTCCTCAAACATCTCAGAAAGAAAAAGAACTAATGGGCTAAGTCTCTAATTAGAATGCTCTGCCTCCTCAGCCTTTAAGTTCAAGGCACCCATTGGTGAGGTGATTGAATGGTTCAAAAGTTTGAGCTAGAGAGGATTTAATCACGCAGCATATAAGAAGCAATGACCAAAGAGTAGAATTCTATTGGCTATTACTTAACTCCAGAGAAAAAGATCATTTCCTTCAATAAACCACTAGTTTTAAATGGTTCCTCAATTACACAAATCTTCATTGAGGATTCATACTGTGTAAAAGCAAAAATCCTGGTGAAAATTTCCTGGAAAAGTTCATTCAAATACTATGCCCCTTTCTTGTAGAATTTATCTGAATATTTAATGAGTCTAATTGAATTTTAAGGAAACATTTAAAATGAAATGGATTTTAATATGAC